ACGCTTTTATAGTATAAAAGCCGGCAAATAAAGTGACGGCATAAGAAAATTTCAGACAGAGAGATACAGAGACAGATAATCGAGTCAAGCCGTAAGTAAAGTGCGTGAATCGTTGTGAATAATAGCGTGTGTTGAAGTTAAAGTGACTGTGGAAATTAAGTGTATTGCAAAGTTGAATTGAGAAAGAATAAACTAGTTTTATTTAAGAAAGGACTTGTATCGCTAAAGTTTCATCCGAAAGAAATTATGCGGGAAATTAACCAACGAACACAGAGGCGTAACAATAGTGTTTGGTTTAGTACAAAGAGACACAATAGGTTATCTATGCTCTGTCCACCACGGGAATCGGACTCCTAATTTTTGCAGTATAAGTCCGTAAAGTTTTTGCTAACCCACTGAGGGAAGTAATAATAATAATTTCTAGAGATAACAGAAATGTAAGATCTAATTTGTTTATCGGACTACAAGGAAATCTCGTTTTGAAAATGACGAGTTTCTTTGTTTTAAGTTCCAAATGTTTTCTATATATATTTATATTCTATAATGTTTCAGGGATATATATTTATGCTATATATATATATGTTCTACAATGGCTGAGGAAAATGTTTGATATATATATCCTCCAATATCTCAGAGCTTAAAATAAACGTAATTTGAGTTCCAAACCATGCTGATTTTTATTGGTAAAAGGTCTGTTTGTGTCAAATAACACACACTGTCAAGTCTGGGAACTATGTGAAGTTTCGATAAACAATCCAGGAAATATTTCCTTACTTAGAAGATATACTAACATTAAGGTATCGTAGATCAGATCGGCATCACGTGATTCAATTTATCGTATCCTTTGTTTTGTGTAGTAGATATCCTTGATAGAAGTGTGTCACAACACTATATCGTGTGTAGCAGATATCCTTGATAGAAGTGTGTCACAACACTATATCGTGTGTAGTAGATATCCTTGATAGAAGTGTGCCACAACACTATATCTTGTGTAGTAGATATCCTTGATAGAAGTGTGTCACAACACTTTGTTTTGTGCACTGAATATTCGTATAGAAATGTGTCACAATACATTTTTGTGTAGCAGACATTCTTATAGAACCGTGTCACAACACTGTTTTGTATAGTAGATATTCTTATAGAAATGTGTCACAACATCTCACTTGGAACAGAAGATTGGAGTCAGTTTCTACATTTAGTGTTCTACATAAAGACGATATTACAGTGGCGCTGTTAACACTAGTAAACTGGTTCATGTACACGAGTCAGTTGTACATTCCTTTAATCACGAGTCAGTTGTACATTCATTTATAAACGAGTCAGTTGTACATTCCTCTATAAACGAGTCAGTTGTACATTCCTTTATTCACGAGTCAGTTGTACATTTCTTTATTCACGAGTCAGTTGTACATTCCTTTATACGATTCAGTTGTACATTCCTTTATAAACGAGTCAGTTGTACATTCCTTTATAAATGAATCAGTTGTACATTCCTTTATAAATGAGTCAGTTGTACATTCCTCTATAAACGAGTCAGTTGTACATTTCTTTATTCACGAGTCAGTTGTACATTCCTTTATAAACGAGTCAGTTGTACATTCCTTTATAAACGAGTCAGTTGTACATTCCTTTATAAACGAGTCAGTTGTACATTCCTTTATAAATGAATCAGTTGTACATTCCTTTATAAATGAGTCAGTTGTACATTCCTCTATAAACGAGTCAGTTGTACATTCCTTTATTCACGAGTCAGTTGTACATTCCTTTATAAACGAGTCAGTTGTACATTTCTTTATTCACGAGTCAGTTGTACATTCCTTTATACGAGTCAGTTGTACATTCCTTTATAAACGAGTCAGTTGTACATTCCTTTATAAATGAATCAGTTGTACATTCCTTTATAAATGAGTCAGTTGTACATTCCTTTATACACGAGTCAGTTGTACATTCCTTTATAAACGAGTCAGTTGTACATTCCTTTATAGATGAGTCAGTTGTACATTCCTTTATTCACGAGTCAGTTGTACATTCCTTTATACACGAGTCAGATGTACATTCCTTTATACACGAGTCAGTTGTACATTCCTTTATACACGAGTCAGTTGTACATTCCTTTATACACGAGTCAGTTGTACATTCCTTTATAAACGAGTCAGTTGTACATTCCTTTATAGATGAGTCAGTTGTACATTCCTTTATTCACGAGTCAGTTGTACATTCCTTTATACACGAGTCAGTTGTACATTCCCACTACTACTACTGGATTACTTCAGATAACACCATGACCAAACACTACTACTACTGGATTACTTCATATTACACCATGACCAAACACTACTACTGGAGTACTTCAGATAACACCATGACCAAACACACTAGTTTACATTACTAAATATTTAGCATAAAGATCTGCCATACTAGCTTTCATTGTTCAGTGTTTATTGTGACAGTGTGCCATAATAGTTTACATTATTGAATATTTAGCATAACGATCTGCCATACTAGCTTTCATTGTTCAGTGTTTATTGTGACAGTGTGCCATAATAGTTTACATCATTGAATATTTTGTATGACAGTGTCACAATAAATTACATTAATGAGTGTTTGATATGACAATGTGTCACATTAGTTTACATTATTGAATATTTAGTGTGACAGTGTGCCACAATAATTTACATTAATGAGTGTTAAGTAAGACAATGTGCCACAATAATTTACATTATTGAATATTTAGTATGACAGCGTGTCACAATAGTTTACATTATTGGAAATTGGCCTACCAATGTGTCAGGGCCGAAACTGTGATCAGTATTACTGCAATTTAAAATAACTATACTAAAGTTTAATACAGCACAAAACTATTTCACACAGACCCTCGTTAGGGGGGGGGGGTAGTGTTTTCTTCCTTTCTTCGTGTTTATTTATTTCAGTTGCTCGAAATTAATCATTTTAAGTTCTTTTGGTAAAATCTCGTATCCCACTTCTGCATGACGTGAAACATGTGCGAAGTAAAATGAAAACCATATGTGTGGCGACGTGTCATAATCCCTCGTGTATTTGTTACGTTCTCACATAATTACGTCTGTACGTCTCATAGATAAATCTCTTTTTTTTTTTCAGAGACTGCTGCCTGCGGATCAAGAAGCAACACTTGAACTACGATGATGATGATGACGATGAATCCACACAACATTACATGAAGAATACATATCTAATAAGTTCATAGTTTCTAACAGTAGATTCGTTATAACAACGCAAGCTGTACGTTTTGTCGATATGAGTTCTACAGGCTATTACTATGATCCAAACGAGCACCGACAGACGTCTAAATCGTACTTCAACTTAGGAGTCTTGTCGTGCTCCATCGGCGGGTTGGTCTTCAGCATCGCCATCATCTTGATCATCATTGGATCATCTCCTAACGAAGCTGAAGCCATCTGGATAGCGGGCATCGTGCTTCTGCTCGTAGGAGGGTTGCTTTTCTTCATGGGCATTGGTTCCATTGGCATCTATCTATCCAGGGAAGACAGGAGAAAGAAAGAGCGGGAAAAGCTGGCCGCTAGGCAGTACGCTGCTAGCCTTCGGGCTTCTAGCGATATTGTGCTGATTGAATAACGATCTCCTAGCGATATTGTGCTGACTGAATAACGATCTCCTAGCGATATTGTGCTGATTGAATAACGATCTCTTATTATATCTTTTTTTGGAAGTTGAAAATTATATCCCACTAATCTGCTTTGTCTTTCAGCAAGAACTTTGTGTCAGCCTCGATACGTTTTGGTGTTCTGGGGGGGACAACCCCCCTCAGGAAAGTTTTTAATTTTTACTCAAAACGGTGTATTTTGATGGCATCCGAGACTGTGTTGTTTTTTTTATAAAAGTTAAATACATTTTATTCATACATGGGTGCAATTTAGCAACCTGCGCACCCCCCCCCCCCACCCCATCTGCCTACCCGAATGTTTACTTATTAGGGATTTAACGTTGAATATATTCCGGAGTATTACCTAACGGTGCGTTCTTCGGATACTTACTGCTGACTTTTAAGTTTAAATTTTATGGATGTTTTTTATATAAACATCTGTTAAGTTCTACAATAAGTAAAGCGCGATATTTTCCTTTAAATGTGCCTAAAAAGAAACGTTTTGTAAAAATTCAACAAACCTAACATCCCTGTTACTTCAGGTTGGTATACAGACTCTACTAATGTCGGTATTTATAGAGGTGATTAAAAGGTAACGAATTAATCAAATAGCTTTATTGTTTCTTACGTTACATTTTGTATTTTAAATGTAGTATACGTACCTGCATGCCTCTTTGGATGTGTTTTTAAAACAGTGGATCACGAGGATTTTCGGCTCATAATTTTAATAATTGGAATAAAGGAATGTACAACTGACTCGTGAATAAAGGAATTTACAACTGACTCGTGTATACGAAACTGTTTTGTTTTTTTTAATAAATAGAACCAGTTCACTAGTGTTAACGGTGCAACTGGAATATCGTCTTTATGTAAAACACTAAACGTAGAAACTGACTCGTGTATAAAGGAATGTACAACTGACTCGTTTATAAAGAAATGTACAACTGACTCGTTTATAAAGAAATGTACAACTGACTCGTTTATAAACCATGACCAAATTCAGATAACAGTAATCCAGTAGTAGTGTTTGATCATGGTGTTATCTGAAGTAATCCAGTAGTAGTGTTTGGTCATGGTGTTATCTGAAGTAATCCAGTAGTAGTGTTTGGTCATGGTGTTATCTGAAGTAATCCAGTAGTAGGGTTTCGTCATGGTGTTATCTGAAGTAATCCAGTAGTAGTGTTTGGTCATGGTGTTATCCGAAGTACTCCAGTAGTAGTGTTTGGTCATGGTGTTATCTGAAGTACTCCAGTAGTAGTGTTTGGTCATGGTGTTATCTGAAGTAATCCAGTAGTAGTGTTTGGTCATGGTGTAATATGAAGTAATCCAGTAGTAGTGTTTGGTCATGGTGTTATCTGAAGTAATCCAGTAGTAGTAGTGTTTGGTCATGGTGTTATCTGAAGTAATCCAGTAGTAGTGTTTGGTCATGGTGTTATA